CCTATAGTAAAGTTAAAATTGCAAGTGTGTAAGCAGCCTTATAGAATGTAATTTACAGATTTGTAACTAATGAATATGAAGATTTATTTAAATGACTTATGTTCCTTTCTTTTCAATTGAAGCACGTTTAATTATTTGCTTTCTATATATTTTCTTTTTGTCACCTTTATAGACCAGAGGTGACTCGGTGACTACATTATTAGAGTGAATGGCTGTGCGTGGGCGACAGCACCCTATCAAGCTGACAACCCTATTTATTAACCCTTTCATAGACTGTACTTAAATTGTACCGCACGCCAAAATGTCACTACTTGTCTTTGTGCCGTAGTGCTTATATTCAATCAGTACAATAATTAAGCTTTATCGCTGACGACTGATCCCGACAACATTCTTGTATAAAAGAAAGTACAGCTATGACTATAGTAGAATGGTTGCCGTTGTTTCATATTAAATGTTAATTTAGAAAATAGATGTTGTTTTTAGAAAAAAGCTTAACTTTGCTATTAGAAAGCTCAATGACACTGAAATGAACTCATACAAATCTTAAGTCTTAAATACATATGTTTAATAAACCATTGAATTTTGTCAGTACGTTGTTGATACTTTTCTATAGAAAAGCTGTAGATGGTCATTACTCAGAAAGCAAAAGTGCGCAGTTGGTTACTTGAGATCCATATAGCAAAACAGGGTACCCCGTACTATCATATTCTGATATTTAATTTTGCAGTAAACGTCGTTACTATCCATCAACAACGTACTGATAAAATTCAACGACTACGACCACAACGACAACAACGAATGTATATAAATGCCATTGAAGTTTTATATCTTTTTAAGATTAATTCAATATAACAAAACGGCAATCATTCTCAGCCGCACTTTCTTTTATATAAGAATATTGATGAGGTCAGCCGTCAGTGATAAAGCGTAATTATTATATTGAATCGAAATAAGCACTTCGGCACAATGACAAGTAGTGACATTGTTATGGGTGGTGCTATTTAAGTAAAGTCTATTAACGGGTTAATTACGATCCTGACTGCACAAACATAAGTCACAAAAGTTAATCCATTTTAACATTAAAAGACGGATGATAATGATAGTAAGTCATAGTTTTACTAATATGATATGAATATTAATGTAGGCCATTTTGAAAGTGACAGTAACCTAATAAACACGTGAAAAATGCTTTAAAATTAGATTGACCGTAAAGTTTATACGATGAGACATAACTAAATATAAAAAAAGAGTCAATTGAGGTAAATGTACTTTACGTCATTTACTAAGAGTTCAGAATTGCTCTTCAGTTTGTATTTCTCAGTCTGTGACCGTGTTTTAGTTCACTTTTTTGAGATCTTTGTGAAAATATTTTTTTTATTATTCAATTAATCAATCGTGACCAGAATAGGGAGGATGTTTCGATGGATTGGTCATGTAGATAAAATGAATGTTGGTGGATTGACGGCACAAATTTATAAAGCTAATGTAGATGGCGGCGTGGGGAGAGGTGGACTTTGGCGTACCATATCCCAATCACATTGGGGATGTTCTTAAAAACGGCCGGGGCTTTAACCCGTGTCAGAAATAAAATGTGTGAAGAAACTAATGGGAGAGGAGGAGGCGAAGGAGGTTTGTCAGGAGTGTAGCAGGTGGAGGTCCATGGTATCTGTACTACTACCCCAGTAGGAGACAGGCGTGATGATATGTATGTATGTGTGTAATCCATCGTTTGTGTATCATTATACGTACGTATAAATTTTTTGACTTTCGTGTAATAAAAGCACTTGTAACGAACGATCATAATATATGGTTTTATTACACCAAGGTCGCGAATTTATTTTTATCGAAACTTTTAGGTATACGTCCATTAGATTTGAGAAAGACTTCTAAAGGCGCATGGAAAAGTATAAAAATATCAAGGACTTGTTTTTGTGAACCACGATTTTTTATGTTTAGAATACCAAATGTTTTATTATCAAAACATGTTAGAAACCACCATAAAGCTGTCAAAGAAGTTGTCAACAAAGTCGACGACCTTCAGATTTATCGATTTACAAATATTGACCCAGTTTGAGTCGAAGGTATGTTAAATACAAATTGACTTTGTCTTGTTCTTACCATTTCAATTATTTTGTTTATTATTAAGAACTGACAATGGAATATTATTCAAAAATAAAGCTTTAGCACTTCTAGGTATATCGAGTTCTTTAATCTTTGGGATTATTACACAAACTTGGACCTTCACATAGCAATGTAAATAAAAATTGTAAGTTGTAAGGTAACTTAAAGAAAAATGGAACTCGTCAATGTGAGCGACAGAATAAAAAATACAGAAATCCGGAGTCGCACTAAGCTATCTGTTATTTAGTACTTCCAGTGAAGATTTCAAATGTTTTTAAATTTGTTCGGCAATATTTAAGAATAAACGGGACGAAAATATGATATTTCGAATGCTTTCCAGAATAGAGACCTGCCACGAAAGTATATAATTTATAAGGAAAATAGCTTACAAAACTGAGACGTGTATGTCGCACAAAGTTGCCGAATCGTAAATCATCCGAATATTGTCATATAACCAATGAAAAGCTCGGAATCCCAATTACAATAAAATTTATCATTTTCTGAATAAATCTCAGTAATATTTAACAAAGAATCAACTTGAGATTGAGCCTGTATTGTTGAAAACCATATATGTTTAGTGTCTTATCATATATCAAATTTATTTTTATGTATTTTTAAGGATTGTTCTGAAGTTTTGACGTAAGTACATAATATGTTAAACGTTAGAAATGAGAATAAAAAGTGCACTGTAGTAGTTAGTCTAATCAGTCTTAGATCGATTTTTTTAAATATCAAAACAAAAGTTTCTCTTATTGATTGAGCATTTAGTTACAAGCGATGATTAATTAAAATTATTTTATAATTTTTTTTGCTTCATTTTACATAATAAAGAAAAACTAAGTACTTACATTTCCCCTGAAAAGAAAATCTATTTCAAAAATTCTACATGAAATAAAAATGGAAGAGCGGTGCTATTTTTTAACATTTAATTAATTTATATTAAATTTATAAGTAGATATGTGTAATACGAGATATGGAAATGGCACAACATTTTTTTCGTAGACAAAATTAAAGCTTATTTGTATTTATCTAAGTGTTGTTATTTTTTCGTTGGGTTTTGTATTAAGCTGATTGGTGAATACAAATTATGAATTATATACAATTTTTATTTTATACCTCTTCTGATTAATTGTAATAATTTAGTAGCAGCAGAGTTCCTTGTGAAAGAGTTCGTCCAGGAAAGTACTGCCACCTTACTGATTTCTGCTGCCAAGCAGTAATATGGTGGTGAAATTACAGACACGTGAGACTTGCCAACTTATGTCTCAGGATGACGGATGCAGAGTCACTGCAACTGCCATCGACAGGCGTCTCGTTTGGCTCTTGGCGCAGGACTTCTTCGTCCTGTGACCTACTACCATTAATGAAAAAAACACATTTTTCGGGCAAGGTACATGGTGTTCAGCACTTTCAGCAGTAGCTATCTATCTTGTTCTATTAATGATATAACTCATAATATAAAACAAAGTAGGCATAAGACGATCAGTGAATAATGTGCGCTTTTGAAAGATCAATAAGGTTGTGTCTCTTACAACCACGTTAGATACGCAGTCAGTGAAGAGATAGACAATTTGTCTGTGTAAACTCCATAATCTGTCCACCGTATTAATTTATGCTGTATTAAGCGCGCTTTAAAACGAATGAAGTCCTCAATCCGCCATACCCTTACCCAGCACTCAGACGAATAATGAGTTGACGGTGATGATGATGGAGAAACGCTTCAGCCCAATGGGTACTAAGAGTGTAGCTAAACGAGGTACATTCCAATTGCATTGTAGCTGCAAAGAAGCTATTGGAATGTATAGCTATGCCCTAAGACTCTACGCGACGCGAGTACCACACGATCGCGGCTATTGCAGAGACCGGTTAATGATGTAAAGTTAATGATTTACGCCAAAATCCTGATATTTAAAATAGCGGAATCCAATAAAATATTTTCGCATAAACAGATCAATCGTCATCAACATATGTTCGCATAACTGAATCAATCAGTATCAATATGGATAATGTTCGCATAACTAAATCAATTATCATCAATTGTGATATGTTTCCATATGTAGTTCAAACAACTAGATCAATAAAAATTTTTTGCCATATAAGTTTTCTTTTGCATTTACCAATCATCAAAATTAACACGTCACACTTTTAGATGATTATAACTACCTTGTAATATTTATATTTATAATGTAAAAAAGTTACAAATTCAGTTAAACACTTACGAGTATAGAAACAATTAATAAAATGGTAATGTACAGTCGAAGAAAAAAAGGAAAAAAAAAAAATTAAACTTTAATATATACTTCATCTTCATTTAAACATAAATTATATTTTATATCGATATAAAGTGTAATTCCATACGTAATTATTATAACTTTTTCTTCGACTATTCATTTATCGATTTGAAAAGGCCATAATGAATTTTTATATAGTATATAATGACTTCTTTACTCTATACTAATATTTCCATAGTATATTCTTTCGCATAGCTATAATATACTATGAAAACTAACCTATGTACACATTCTAATTTATTCATAACATCTAAATTATACACGATATACAATAACAAGACCAGTCTCAGTGAGATAAATTTTGAAATTGACGAATTTTTTTTTATAACAATTTATTAAATGACGCAAGTTCTGAAGAAATTGACTGTATACACAAAATTATAATGAATACGTAGAAAATAAATTGTACACGCAACGCCGCAACCTTGTTTACTAGTAGGTAATCGATCAATCACAAAAGTACCTTTTCGACAATGTCACCACTACAACAAAAAATTACATTTCTATATTTTTTATTAACTAATTGAAAACTCGAACATCGTCGTCCACAGTTTTAGTTTCCACTAAATTTTAGTTCACTTTGTAAATTTCGCTTTAAAGGTTTTTTGTAAATTTTATCGAAAGTTTATGAAAATTTTGGTTATACGTGAGTCGCTAGAGGTTGCTGTAGGCCGTTACCTGCAACAAAATGGTTAAATCAGATCGTGGATGAAAAAACTATTGTCTTGCATCACTTAGTAGAGTAGGTTAATATTCAAAACGGGCTGTACGGTCTGTCTGTACAATTTAGTCAGGAGAAGGCGTCTGCTCGCGTCAGAGGTTTAGTCAGGACTGCCCTCGTCGTCCTTTGTCCAAAGAAAACAAATGTCGGTCGTCGTCTTTTATCCAAAAGAAAGTCGGTCTAATTTCGAATTTCTGTCGGTCAAGTAAATCTGTCTTTGTGGCCTGTCAATCTGGTCATCCATGGAGGCTGGACGCGACACGGGCAATGTACTTTAAGAGTCTATACTACCTCAGCTCGAATTCAATCTTTTCCCGTACTATATATATATCATATATATATATATCATATACGAGTATATAAAGTAACTATTGAATACAGCGGTTTTCTTGTAAAATTTCGAAGTAAATTTGTGATTTTTTTCTATCGTGAAAATTTTTACGAATCTAATACATAATACGTTGTCAATTTGTTAGTTTCCTTAACTACCTAAAATAAGTGATTACTAAATATATCCCTACAAAACGACGGTAAAAAGGTTTTTGCGATTGCTGACATTTCGGGTACTCTTACCTCAGTTGATCCCATAGAGACCATTGACCCTTAACAGAGACCGGATGGAATGGCATAAAAAAAAAGTTTTGTAAAAATTGCCTTTTATCTTGCTGACTGTACCATTTTTTCAAAATATGTGAATGCCAATCAAAATATCTTCAAAATTCATGGATAGGCTTCTAGAACCGTTTTCCTGTAACTACAACGATTAAGGTGGCTGGCCTTGCTGCCCCGTTTTAAATTTACACCCTGTATATTTTTTCCAAAGTGATTTATTCCATAATTTGACTATTATGCGGAATCGATCAAAGCCATTTGAGGTTGTATAGACTCTTAATGCCACTAAAATCTTTCAGTAAGAAGTGTGTCCTACAAACTTGATAAAATTTTGATTATAACGTTAGGAAGTAAGCTTGCTGCATTACATACGTTTGCTAAATAGCTGATCGAAGTTTGCGTTCAATGTAATACATTCATAGTTTAGCCCATCGGCGATAGGTCGCGGGTCTGTCGGTTTTTTACAGATTATACTTCGGAGAGTGTGCCCATGAGCTCCACCAGCTCATTCCATCCGCCCCCTTTTACCATCGGACATCTAGACGAACGGCGGGATATCACCCTCACCTGGTTGATATTCCTTTAAAACGTACTAAGCGCTTTTCGTCATCTTTTATAATGCGCACAGCCCGTGACTGGAATTCCCTGCCTGCGTCTATTTTTCCGAGTACATACAACCCGAATATTTTCAAGGTGCGTTTGAATAGGCATCTTCTGGGCGAGCTCGTACCAACGTAGACCTCATCTTTGCTCTAGGGCTAGGTAGTGGTCAAGAGTACGTCCATTTTTAATAAAAAAAAAAAAAAATCTTGAAGGATAATAAAAAATATAACTCACCTTTCTTAGTAACGGTAGCATTGCTAATAGTCCTGTTGGATGGCGCCAATATGTAATGGGCGCTGGGTGATTGTGGTGTGGCTGAAGATGTTGCTACCCCAACCTGTATAGTACACACAATTGTAAAGGATTTAGGGTTGATTTTACATTGCACATACAAGTAAGGATCCGTGTGGCTTTGAATAATGAATAATGTGCCAAACAAACACATCAAAACCTGGTTTTAAACTACGGAAGCGCCTGTACTATGAGTACCAGACAACGGAATTCACTGAGGCACTACCCAGAACATTCAGTTCTTAACCGATTTAGAAAATTTCATTTCCCAAATTTGTTCTACCGGGAACCGAACCTGAGATCTCCCCATCCAATGCTCACAGCGCAAACCGTTGGGCCATCGAGGTCGCAAAATGAATATGTATATATAATTGTGTTAGCCGTTAGTATGTTCTATTATTTAAATTATTAATGTTTATCTCGTCCTTCATTTTTGCATAAATTGTCTGGCTGCCAAAACTATATAAACGTTTGAAACAGTTCGTTTTGAAGCAGTAACACAGCTTAGACCTTCATCAATAGGCAATTAACGAAAACGTCTGAACGTTTATTAAAATCCTTCATCCTCCCTAACGAGATTGAAAGTCAATAGGATTTTCATTTGTAGTTCAAATATCTATTCGTCCTTCAGTTTAAAATAATTATCTCGAAGTATCTAACGACATCTTCAGAGAATAAACTAAATAATTACCAAAAATTTAAGTAATTTTAAGTTATCATCACATAGAAAATGTTAATACAAAAGCTACGTATACTGGTTATATACTCAATGAGGTATCGTGTGTAAGCAAAACAAAAGATCAAGTTTCTGTTTAGTGGAAAGTTGCCTAACATCTGAACAGTACATTATTTTTCAAAGAGAAAGTAGAATTACAGTCGCAATTATTGTAAAAGCTAAGAAACCAACTAGTACTTCTGTAAACGACGTGATTATATTAATTCTATGATCATTTCGAATAATACGAGCAGACTATAATGTTAATAATTTTCAAAAAAATTCCTATTAATTTTGAATAAATAACCCTTATAATGGCCTATTTCAATATTATGAATGTAAATAGGTTTACTTACAAAAACACGTGAAAGTCTTTGTTTAAACAGTTCATCAATGAAAACATAAGGTTCATCACCTTTACATTTGCATCGCCAAGAAGCGTATCTGGTGTTGGTATCACAACACCTGTACTTAATAAACACAATCTAAGCATATAGCTATAGCTACTCTATTCACAGAATAGGATCTCCGGTCTTTCATTCACATGTGTCGGATATCAGATTACTGTTATTTGGAAATGGGAACAATACTCCAATTGGTCAGTCAATGGCTCTTATGCATTTGGGAATTCAGGTAGGAATGGGATTGTATATCACCGAATAGAAATATTCAAATTGCATGGATAGGGCGTTATTTAGTTAGAGAGGCTTTGTTTCTAGGATTAATGGTTTACTTCCACTTCATGCAAATTATTATTACAAAATTTTCATCAAAACCACTTAATAGAAATTTCAAATTTATATTCATAAATAATGTCTCTTTCTTCGTAAGTTAAGTTAAACAATCATTTACTACTGTTATTTTCTCTTCTGGATCACATTATACAGAATTAATCATATAGGTAGGAGGTACTTGGTATTTCAAAGGCAATATCCGAATAAAATTACTTACAGCAGGTTGCGTACTATCAGTGGACATTGTAGAAGTAGTAATAGGACTCGTCGCACATTGTGGAGACGCTAGGCTTGTGGGTGACGTTATTGAGTGAGATGATGTACCTGCAGAGAATAACGTATTTGTATTTAGCAATAGTGAATTGGATAAGTCGGTTAAGAAAACAATACTTTAAATTTCATAAGGTCTGATCACTTAACTTATTACAAGAAAGCAATATATCTATATAGGTAATACCTATACTAACAAATTGGATACAGATTACAAGATGCCACTCAAACGTTACACTAGATTGCTAATCGCAGTATTAGTTTATTCCATAAAAATCTTATTGAAATCTTACCTGAAGGTAAAATCACAGAACTTCTAACAGAAGAATATGGTGGTGGTGCAGGTGTAGACGCTGGCTTGGCAGTATTAACAGTAGTAAAGCCAAGACCTCCTCCTGCTCTTAGGTGAGGATTCCCATAAGTCGCCGCGTACCTGACGTCTACACCTGGTATTATTCCTCCATTCGGTATTCGATTTACTGTAATAAATAGGGGGATATTACTTAAAGGTAATTAACGAATCAGTGAACGTCAACAAGACTGACATTTTAATATCGAAAAAACTATGAATATTCAATGATCCTGCATTGAAGAAGTAAGCAAGCAACTGTAGAATTTTTGTTTGTATAGTAAATTAAAAGAGATAATTAACTTCGTTGGCTTCTTTTTTCTACGTATGTCTTCGTTCATATTTTGAACTAAGCCAGTTAACTATGACGTTTTATTTATAAAGGAATGATTAGATCTTACAAAAATGTCCCCATATTTTATTTTCATAACAACGCATACTTTATTCCCAACTAAACCGGAAATATTTTGTCAAAGCTTTTAAAAGGAGTGGCGCATTTGAATACAATGTTACTAACAAAAGTTTTCAACTTTGTCGCTCTATTCGTAAAATACAATCTGATGTTCTTACTTGTATCAAAATTTTAAGTTCCTTACTGTGAGAACCAAGTTTGAAAGACGTAGTCTTTGGACAAACACAATGTTATTGTTAGCAGTTTTAGTGTATAACTTCAAATACAACTTTTGAAAGATTAAATTTATTTTGAAATTATGTTCGTTTCTACTAGTAAAATAAAACAAAGATGTAAATATATTAAACCAATGCTACGAGACAGTTCAATTCGCATTTGTAGATGAGTAGTTTTAGCGGAAGCTTGTGATGCAGTTGATATCTTATTCCTATTTTGATTAAATTATTTTCTTACAATGTGTAGAGCATTTTTCATTTATACATTAAGGTTATCGACTTACCCTCATTATTGGGTAATCCCAGGCTATTCAATGCGTTACTACTGTCTTGCCTCTTAACAGGCCTCTGTAGGGAGTTGTTCTGGGACCCATTTCCAGGATTGAACTGTACGGTTGACGTCGTATCAACGCTTCTAGGTAGACTACCATTAACAGACCTAAATAAGTATATTATAATAAATAATTATAGTAACAATAGATGAAAGTAATGGGAAAGACAGCTTTTTAACCCAAATGAAACAAAAACTGAGGTTATCATTTAAGGGTAGGATGCATGTCTAAGACATAGCAATACTCAACGTTAAAATTTGTTTTAAAGAGATAAACTTCTTGTGTAAACAAAAAGTCATACAAAAAAAATAAGTGTTGTTGAAAACAATAACTTTATACATATTCAGCATGTTAATGAAAAGTAAAAATAATATAGTAATTTGGCTAAATAATAGAAAACGTTGCAACTCACCTATTAGGAGTTAGTTTATCACTACTTATAGTGGGCGATTGGACTCGCAGTGAACCCGGAGTGTAATCGTGTCCATAGTGGACGTACGTTGAATATCCATTGCTGTAGCCGTTCATCTGTTTTAGACATTGTGATATTATAGTGCATGTTCCAAAATGGTTTAACGAGATACCATTGTAGCGCGAGTTTGCATGCAATGCAACTAATAACATCAAATTCAGAAAGAGTGTCAATGCAGTTTCAGGTATATGTATAGCTTAAAAAGATTTGTCAACCTTCTCTAATTTGCAGGTATCATCGTGATATTTTCCTTCACCATTAAAACAAGATGTGATAATAAATAAATTGAACACTTCGAAAAGACTCAAGAATTAGTACTCAGAGCTAAGACATTCTACGATGCAACTCTTCTGCCAAAAACACTATCATTGGCACCATTATTGTGATCTAAAAGTATTACCTATAGGTACAATTGATAAGAGAATGGATTCATTGCAAAACAGAAGCTTCAAAAGTAATTTGTCGGAGTTTATTAAACGATATTGCCAGTAAATATTTCTGGCGACATTCACAATCAATGTAATAAAAACTAACCTTATAGCAATCAGCATAGGCGGGATCACTGTAATCGTTGCTATATCTATAAGGCTGGTAAGAGTTCCCTTGATTGATAGTTGTTAGTGGTACTGTTCCGGCAAGTGGTATACCACTTCCTAGCTTTGCGTTGGAACAGAGAGTGCTATCTGAGCCAGTGTTTGAGTAATCCTAGAACAAAATTATAAAGTAATGGTATATTTATAGTATAGTATATTGCATAAATATAACCTTAGTTGTATTCCGATAAATACTTAATAGAGTTTCAGAAAACGGTAGGAAGGTTTATTGTGTTTTCAATTATAGTGATTGACAAATTTTCATAAACTGCATGAAAATTAAAGAAAAGTTTATAAAATAATGACATGAAGCTTAGCTATTGCTCAGTAATCTAATTAAGAAAACAAAAATATAGTTACAGGTTTAACATAAGCTTGAATTTATATTTTCAGAATCCTTTCTTGGGAACATAAACCAAATATAAGCCGGACTAGTTCCCTGGTTTCAACATTATAAACAAATGTACATAAACTTTTCATAGCGCACTCATATAAGTTCGTAAAATGTTATAAGATTGTTTACCGATTTGTATACCATGAATAAAGAATGTCTGTATAGATATCTCTTACTTACCACTTCACAACTGCCGTTAGCCTGCCTCAATTCCATCTTCAATTCACTTATATTAGAATTCCTATCGTTCTCTTTGTACAGTTCTTCAGCTGTCACTGTCACATCTGGTTTCTCGGCTACTTGAGTCTGTTTATTGTTTCTCTGTTTTCTTTGACAGAGTATCACTAGCATTATTACTATTGCCACCATTATTGTTCCTGATGTCACTCCGAAGAGAATCATAAGGAGTGGAAATGTTTCTGTAAAGAAAAAATGTATTAAATACTTCGTTCATATGTACTATTTTATCGTGTGGTTCATCCTGAGTTTTTAAATACCAAATGTGTTCACTATTTCATTCCAGAAATTTTGTTACTCCCTATCTACTAAAAGGTAAAAATTACATCCAGACCCATGCATATTGCTCAGTGGGGAAACAATTCAAACTTATGCTTTGACGGAAGTAACCGTTAGCCAGCGTTGTGATCACCTTCAGACTTGATCGTCGCAAACTGAACGCTCCTTAGCGAGAAATTTCGCCTGTGGCTCCCAGATATCCAATGTTCGGTACGAAGCTGTATCACTGTCTGAAGTTGGTATATTTAAACCTTTTGCATTGCACGACTGGTCTAATAGTGCTTACGTGGACATGAAAGGAGCAACAGTATTCACACAAGTCACATCAAACACTAACGATCATACCAGTTAATACCATCGGGCCTTATGCCGTCGTTGCGGTAATCTTAACGATAGTCATTATTTGACTGAGAAATACTTGGAGGATGGTGTTACAAAATTACTACTATCTATCAATCTACGTGTTGTAGATTTCAATACATCGTAGTGAGTTCATCGAAGAAAGCAAACTTCGCCTTTAATACACTCACCGAATGGGGATCCAATAAGTTTTCCCAATCTTTAAAATTAAATCTCATAAAATCAAGCATCTGCTTCTGAAATATTTCTAAAATTTTTATAATTTTTTTAGAATCCCATCAGTGATTATCAACTACTCACAAGGTTTCTTGTGATCGTCTGGCTATACTAAAATTTAACTAGTTTTCATAAAACCAACATTTCTCATGTGTGACGTTATATTTTATCTCTTGCAGACTTATCAATCCACTTTATGGGCACAACGACCGTACATTACAGTAAGTATGTCGTCATTTTAGTGTCAACATAAGGGAGACAGTTTGTTGGCTATTGTATAAAATTGTTTGTAGTTTGAGGTTTATACGTTATGGCTGGAAGAAACCACAAAATGGTAAAAAGAAGATTAACATTGGAATTCAGTGTAGGTGGTGTTGTTCACAAGCGTGTTCCAGACATTTTCTTTAAAATACATATCGCTACACAAGTAGTGTAGTTCTCTATTACAAAAACAGATGCAGTGTTTTTGTAGGCACGACAAAGGTGTGGAAATTAAATGAAGAGATATTATACCATGGTCAACTTTAAACTTTTGTACATAAAACATCAGGAAGTAAATTCTTAAACAAAATAATTAAAAAAATTGAACTAATGAAAAGTACTTACTATTAGGTCTTAGAACAATTTCCAAGGTATCGCTCCCATATTCATTGGAAACATTGCATTTGTAGACTCCAAAATGTTTGGATTGACTTTCTCTGACGATGAGAGTAGAATTGATGACACCACCTTCCTGGACGTCTTCAAGGAAAGCGTAATCCTAAAAACAAATTGGTTCATTAGCTTTATGTTGTGTGTGTGTGTTTACTGCATTACTTAATTATATCCAATATTTTTCATAGTCTTTGGTAACAAGAAAGACCTATACTAACTCAAAATCTCGGCTGCTGTCACAGTACCTAAGTAATAACTTAAAATGTCTTCGACGAATTTCTCACGTTTCTCTTTCACCGTAAAAGCAAGTGACAATCAAGTATCTATCGGGTTTCGTTTTCTCGATTGCTACATATTGGATATGATACTATTTTTTCGGATCTAAATTTGCATACCTATAATTGTTTTTTTTTGTCACATGTTCGCACACTGTATATTTAAATAAAATCATAAGTCAGCCGCGACCATGACCATGGGACCTGTAAAGAACTCGTAACGTTGGTTTGCTTGAAAAGACAAACATCCGCCATTTTAAATCCGAAAAAAATAGTTTCATTTCTAATTAAGAGTAACAAGTTTAAATATATTCATAAGTGCAGATTTGTGTTTCATCACATTCATAAATTCATAGTAATCTATCGTTTAGTCTCTGCTGCGGGTTTTTCTTTTATTCTTTGATCGCATGATAAAATACTGTTACTATCAAAGTTGAACTTGACCTTGAACATGTCAATATTCTTTTCACATACCACTTAGGGTAGTGCTCCAGTCTAAACGAGTTTGAGACTGTATAATTTATTAAATTTATTGTCACAAACGTTTATTTTAAAAGCTACTGTTTATTATTTTGTATTATTACGTTGTTTGTAATTTTATTTTTAATGGCTATCGAAAATAAAATGCTTTTTACTATCATTAATATAAAAGCAGAATTGGAAATCGCTACAACACAAAATAGATGGCATACAGAAATCTGTAGTAAAAATACGTAAATTGCAACCATGATCGTTTTGGTAAAATGTGACGGAGCATCCCTTCACCCTTCATTTTAACCTTTAATACCTCTGATCTTAGTTCAGACACTTAAGATTCATATGCAACAGATTTTTACGATTTGAATAAATCGAAAAGAGCATAAAGTAATTAAAACTCTTGATTAGCGTTTCCCAAAATTCCTGAGCAAAGAATCCCTTTGAGATATTTATCGTAGATGCTTTAGCAAAATTGCATTAGTATAAACAACTTGTTAATTTTTTACAGCTGACGTGATCCCTGGAACCCCTACTGTTTATTGCTCTTGTAATTTACGAAACGGAATTAGGATCGCATTCTATGACAAAATTAGCAATGAAATTACTGAAGCCTGTTTGTTTTATTATTTGTTTGTGTATTAAATATTAGTTGCGAAAAGCGAAATAACAACATCAGCTGCTTACACTACATTACATTTGACTTTTCAAGCGAATGGTAATTTGTTATGCGGTCAGTGCCTGATTAGTTTGTCTTCATTATGTTCTCTTCATTATTTTTCATCTGTTTATTATTTATATGTGTGTAATTTACATATTTATTTACTTATTGCCATTTCTAAATATTCCATACCCCAATCTTTTGCGAAACCACCTCCAGTATGACCCGGAAAAAACCAAATACAGTCAGCCATATAAATCAGATTACATCCTAAATCACGTCTAAACACGCGTTTTACATTACACACACCGATTTATCTGCCGCCGATGTTATTTATTGCTTTGTGGTTATTTTTTATGCTCTTCTAAATGATAAAGTTGTTGATCGGTTCATATTTTATTCTGTAGACTGATAAAGGGTTTCTGTAGTATAATATGTACCGTTGTTTGTAAAGAACTATTCTTGTGTTAGAACTAAGCGTATTTTATCAATTTTATGTTATTCTTTTTTTTCTTGTAATTATTTAGACATGTTTGTTAATAGATTCATTAAATAATTGGTTTTCATTGCTGCTATATTTTTTACTTTCTTCCCGTCACTTCATTATCTAAGAAATTCAACAATTTCGACATCACTTACTTGATCATGTAAAGAATCGATTTCCTTGCCATCAAATGTCCAAACTATACTGTCAATTCTAGGTATAGCAAATGCAGCACACTCTATATTCACAGTATCGCCTTGAGATCCAAACTGTGTGTGGTTAGAGAGAATTTTCGGTGGACCTGAAAATAACCATTTCATCAGAAAAAATGTATAAGACAAATGTTTATAAAATACTTCGCACATGTCAGTGTGGAGTTTCGAAATTAATTGTTAGGTATGTTCTTAGATCGACGAAACTATAGTTATCAAGAGCGTTTCAATATACATGAACGATTTGTATGTAATTGTTAGTATCGTTAGTGTATTCAGTGTCAGTTTTCCTTTCACGAGAATAAAAGCCGAATATACAATTTAAGTTACTGTTCCCTTAAAAAATAATTATAAAGGAAGTGCTGTGTCATTTCCAATAGGTACGTTTTTAACCTTCATACCGCAGGATAGTGTTGAGAAGCAAATCGAATGTCTGTCAACAATATATCGATACATAAAACATGAACAAATAATATTTGTAACTTTTATTAAGCATTGATACAATGTAAATTATAAAAAAATAAAAAGCATATGGTCCAAGAAAATTACTTTCAGAGTAAAAAGTATTAAAATATCGTTTACGAATTAACGTATCAAAAATTGCGTATTATTGTAAGTGTATTTATTATTCATGTACATTTATCGTCTGGCGGCATCGCTAGCACTTTTCATCGCTGGCACTAGACCATTCAGTATTGTCGATAAACGATAGTTAGATGATTACATCGACAGCTACGCATCACTGAATAGAAGCCAAGGCCCTTCCTTTATTTTGTAATGAAAGAAAAATGCCTCCGTAGCTTTTGTAGCTTTTGTATCTAATTCTATACGGACTTATACGGATATATAGTGGAAAATTCTTTATGTATGTTTTCTTTTGTATTTAATGAGGTGTGAGTTGGACGCTTAAACTGGAAGGCTTTTTTGTATTCTTACCATGAACATAAAATATAATATTATTCTAAATTTTCTGGGCATGTTCACACTTTGTGTGTTTAATGTCTTTCAAGACCGTTACCATAGTTTAATTTGTGGAATATAAGACAAAACAGTTTTACCCGTCTAAAGGATAAGTTTTTAATTCAAAAATATTAATTCCGTTAAAATTATTGGTTTGAATTGTACATAACTATTTCTTAATTATTATTTTTTCTTCACTTCTCAGTTTTCTTGCCGTATTTAGTAGTTAACGGTGTTGGTGACACAATCATTACATATTTAGTGTAAAAAAGAAATTAATTATAAGTTTAAATTGTGTCCACTGTTTGTTAACCGAAATAACTAAATAAAAAAGTTTCAAAATTATGAGTAATCAGTCAATTCTTTTATCCCTTGGCCGTTGAGTATTTTGCCCTATATGTGTATCGTTGGAATATGTGTTCTAAATTTATTGTTTTCTATATACTAACAAGTTGTACTCATATTCTTTCCTGATCTAATAAAGAACAAGAGTGCACTAAATGACCAATGCAATTGGAGACAGTAAAAGATACCAAAAACGTAACAAGGAATGCCCTTAGTGTTTTTTTTTATAATAACAGATGGTGGGATAATGGAATTTACTCTGGAATATTACCCAGAACCACCGAGTATATATAGCCAGAAACAGAGACGAAATAAGGGCCATCCATCCCTGGGAACTCGTCAGGCAAATGGACCTTATATCACTTTTAAATATCAACTCTCGTTAGCGCTGTAATCACAAATTAGAAAACTGAAATAGTACAGCGCCAACAACTGACCTGTGTCTACATCTCCGTATATTAAAAAGATATTCTGTACTTATTATAATAAAGATAATATCTTTAATAACGGGGGCTGTTCCATTCGGTGGTGTAGGAAAAACAGCAAAACATCTAATTACAAAACAAACGGAATCGCATTTCATCGGTAATTAATTATTGAATATGTTATTTTTAAATTTTTGTCCATTTCCGCAAAGTTCAAGTTAAACTGATCCATTTGAAGTAAAACATTTGACGACACCTGTCAATTGTTTCGAATTCGGGCTGGCCAATCGGCCAACCGTTATCACATTAATGATTTGGCAGAATAGTTTCCAAACAAATTAAATGACATTCCGTCTCTATTTCTGGTTATGTACTCGATGCCCAGAACACATAACCAATTTAGAAAAGCGCCAAGCCGGGTAAGGGTGCTGGTGAAATTACAGGCACATGGGATTTGTCAACTTATGTCCCAGAGCGACACGCGCCGCGGCAGTACCCTTCAGATCTTTGAAATTTAAAGCTCTGAGTGGCACTGCATCTGTTATGGACAAGCGTGTCTCTTAACACCAGGCGCATGTCTTGTTCGCCCCGTCACTTGGTATTATATAAAAAAAGATAAGTTTGGTTCGTAAATTTGTCCTTCTTCCATTCTACACCCATAGTACAAACTATTGGGATATTGAAATCATTGATGTATGTATAATAAATATCTCAATAACTCGTCAGCAGACAAACATAATTTCAAATTTCTGTTTCTTGTTTCTAAAGTGTTTACGTCTATACACTTACCTTTAATAAATAAAGAAGCCTCAGCTTCGATTTCAGGGTACCCGTCTACACTGGCCTTGCAAAGGTATCTACCTGACGTATGTGTGTCCAAAGTTAGAGTTAGATTAGGTGTTCTTCCGACTCTCTGTGAAAGAAAAGGAGATACAATACAACATTCCTGATGAATTAGATGATTTTGAGATAGACCACTTTTCTAGAAAACCGTTCATATGTTGATTACACTCGGTTTGTGTACTTATGAAAGATATAAATAAATAAATATTTTTATAAGAAGCGAGATAAGAAATTGTCAACTCTATCCCTTCTCCTTGTGGTTCATTAATCTTTATTGTTTATGATTCTGTTTTGCAAATTTTTGAGAGTCCTATAACAAGACTTGTTTATTTTAACATATGTATGCGTATAATCAGGACCAAACCACTGAATTGAACTTTATAATCCCAAGATCCCTCTACATTACTACGGTAGAATTGTATATGAAGCTGTTGAAATAAAAAAAAATCGTAATTTGAATAGAGAGGACGATTTTAAGCTTTCATCGTCGTGGGACCTAATCATCAGCAAATGTAAGCGACATCAAGTATCGCTCGACAAGTCGTCGGATATCGTGTAATGTGTGTCGGTCTAGTACAAAAATAAATAATGACAATTGTTGCAAAATATCCGAAATGTCAAGGTAAGTAAAATGAACCGACTGTTAAAAATAAAATATATTTTTTTATTTATTTACTTATAATCAGGTAACGACCCGTAAATACATATCTCAAGAACTAACATACATAATAATATAATAAAAAAAATAATTAATTACACGTACGGACCGCGATGTGTAATGCAACGTAGGTGTCCGATTACCGTCCTCGAAACGTCGGTACATGACACCCTTTGGCCAGAACTCCTCCTTCATGAAAGTCGACAGATGTTGAGATGGTACTCTCACCACAAATAAGTTATCAGCATTGGCTTTCACCCGTGTGTACTCCACAATCTCCGCAGACTTTGTGGAGTAATGAAATCGTGACACGTGTAGCAACGTCGTCGGCAATGTGTATGCATATGTGTTTATTAGTTGTTTTCCATATAAAGTGGTTTCAGATTAGTTAAAATATAATCAAAACTTACAATAGTCTGATCCTCCTCGTAATGTAGCCATCTGATTTCTGGAGTCGGATATCCTTCGACATCGCAGCTCAACGTAACTATCGTGCCTTTTTCGCCTTCTACGTCTTTTGGTAAGTTTCTGAACGTTGGTGCGTCTAAAAACGTATGTATATCGTCAGTGGTCAGGATAAAAATGTCAAGCATAGAAGAGAATAGAGAAGAATGTATAAACCCGTGAAAAGTTGTCGTTTTGCAAATGTGACCTTATTACATCTAGGGTGGAAATCAGAAGTTCCTTGAATGCTATATTTGGGGATCACAAAGAACTTACATGTGACTTCCAAAGTGATAGTTTCTTCACTTTTGCCAACTTCGTTGTAGACTTCACATTTTGTTACCATTTCACTGTATTTTCTAGTTACGTTTGGGATACGCTGGAAAAATATAGTCATATTAAAAACGTACATGGGTCACCATGAGTCATATTTAGATGAAACTAGATATTTGGTTGTATATTACTAATGACGACTAGAGATCGCAACAGGCAGTGAGTATATATTTAGTTAAAATTTCATAGAGTGCAAATAATGTAAACATCGAAAAAACACAAAGAAAAATTCCTCCGATCTGATTGGACTTAAACCGTCATCTGTATGCCATACTCAGTCTCTTTGTATCTCAGATTTGGTCAGTAGCTCAGATGGCAGCAACGGTAGCCCCTACGCACGCGACACGCGCTGTGTAACTCGAGTGTACCGCAAGATTATTTGAATGTGTGTGCCTGTACACGGCGCTCGATGGGCACTGTATGGAGTTAGACTATTTAACTTGTCTAATATGAAAATAAACTCTGCCTATTACGAGCTTTTCAATAATAGAGAATACTTTATAACTACGCAAAGAAAAGTTTTACTACCAGTAAAGTTTATTACTTGATCAGTAAGGCCCATTATTTATTGAAACTGGGATAATAGTTGTATAGATAATGGGAATAATAGTTATCTCACTTACCAATTCTGTGTTATTTTCACCAACCATTAATTCGTCATTCATATACCATTTGAATGATATATTTGAAGGGTTGGCATCGGCGACGCATGCTGAAAAATATTATTATAATTTAATATTAAGGTAACATTAGGGTCATGGAAACGCCCAAGAAGAAGACCACAGATACATTGGTACGACGATATGAAAGGACGGGCGGTAACAAAATGGTTTAGAAACTGCACAAGACCAAGAGAGATGTATAAACTGAAGGAGGCCTACACATTAGAAATTGGGAACGGGTAAAGAAGAAGAAGACGAAGAAGTCAAGGTAAAGCAGACATAGGCAATAGTATGTATGTGTATATAGCCACCATTCCATCGACTTGTTTGCGATTACTTGTAAGAACATTTAGAGTTGGGCACATGGAACGGATGAAATAATGTAGAGTGGCGAAAGAGATATGTAAAGCCGGTGGAAAAGCCAACATTGCAAAAAGGCAGCTTTTAATTCAAATCGAGAATTATCTTAAAAAAGCTAGTGTTGCTCATAGACACTGGACGTCTCCACGAGCAACCAGCATACAGGCTCTATGGATGACCAACGAACTGGTCATAAAAACTGACTCGACTGATAGAGATTCAAAATGAGACCGACTTTCTTTTGCACAAAAGAAGAAGCGGGCAGTCCTAATAAAGCCTGTGACGAGAGAAGACGTAAAGATGGAGTGCGTAGTGAGAAGAATATGAACACTAAGATATATTGATGAATGAAAGTAAAGAAAGAAAAGTTTACTAGGTTCGTGCAAACTAGTCTAAAGTCTACCTTCTCCAATGGAAATCCAAATGTATAATATGTAACTTGGAACGAAGTATTGTAATAAGCATCTTTATATTTTCATATTATTTTTTAATTTCCAGCTTTTTCCTGAACCTCAGACCTCAACATTAGTAACCCTTTGGACACATATATATGACAATATGCCAAGCTCACTTCTATATAACCATTTCACAAAGGTCTCTGGTTTTGAGCATATAGCTGAGGTCAAGGTCCAATCCCCTCATATAATAATAACAATAATAACGCACACAGTCAACATAGCCCTGCACTACGGAAACGCTGTGTTGCGGGTGCTATGGACACATACATAGGCAACCACAAATTACATCCAAACTCACGAGAGAAATAAATGTAGGCCATACAAATATTTCTCTCGGCCCGGGAATCGAACCTGGTGCCTCTGCTTGGCAGTCCGGTATGATAACCGTTCGGCCACGGAGGCAGTCATACAGATGAAACACATATAGTACTTATTTAGATGCTCCCTGAAACGATCTAACCCATAGTTTACCAAAGTGGTTCCTACCCAGTGGGCGCTTGAGAGTCCTAGGGTAGATCTCGGAAGCAATGGGGAGAGGGGGAGGGGCGTTGATGCTGTCCAGAAGGTGCTACCGCATTTACGTGATGGGCCTTTGGGAAGTTATTTGGGAACCTTATACTATTATGATCTAGCCCGTTATCTTCACTGTGAATATACCTACTTGGGCATATCCACCAAACCACAATCCATTATGGTCTAATAAGATTGAGGCCTTTATTTAGCATATATTGTTAAAGCAAATATTGTCAAATAAAAAAAAATCACGTAAAAAGTTTATTACCTATAACAGCGTCCTCTCCCTCCGGTATTCTTCCATTGACTCCAGATTTTATTTGAATACGTACTTTGGGAGCGTATTTTACCTGTAGACAAAAAAAAACATTTTACGACTTTATTTCTTTTAACACGTGTCGCCTTAATAACATACCATAAATCTTCTTAATAACATACCAGCTTATTTACACAGGTAATTCTAATTTTTCCCTAAATTTAGGGTAAATATGTTAAAATCCGTATTAATCTTCACATTATTTTTTTCAGAAATAATATTTGTAATTCACGGAAAAAACTCGACGGTAAATATATAATAAACATACCAATTGAAATAAAATTCACAATTCCGGTCTAAACTAATGTAATTGTTTCTGATAATAACTTTACCAGAAACAAAAAAGGTGGCCGTGGCAGGACACACGGCTTTAACGTTCATTTTCATTTGTTAATCATCATTAGTCCCACGTCCGCGCACGCATAAATATTCCTTTTTTTCTTCTCATTACAGCCAGTGAGTGAATGTGTGCGTGCGTGCGTGCGTGCGTGAGTGCGTGCATGTAAATGTTTGTGTGTGAGTGAACGCAAGGAGCGTCTACGTACATTCCATTCATTTAGAGGCACCCGTGCCTGCACCTGTGCCCGCCGCCACTCTGAATAAGTCACAACAACTATTTGCCAAGTATTATTGAAATCGAAAAGTGCGCACAGTAGTCAGTTGTGGTACCATTATACTAAGCGACCTTTTGATAGACTCACAGGTCGGGATAATAATGCATTTCGCGCTATGCTGCGGCTGCCCTGGCGGTGTAGTGCGTCTGGCATGTTTGCCGTGAATAGAGTAGACAATTTTTCTCTATAATACGAAAGAAGTCTTTTCTTATGAGAGTGTGCGATCCGGCCAATAATTGTAAGGACAGTATGCGATACGTGTTACTTTGTAAGCGATCACTCCATTTTTAAAATATAAATTAATTATACTATTATTTCTGATGTCATTCAATTCAATTTAATGTAATTCTTAATTGTTTACTTCAATAATAATAATAATATTCGGTTAATAAAATTCATTGTTATGTAATGTAATAAATAAATAATGTTAAATTTATTAATGGGCGTATACCTAAATAAAGAAACATTTTATTTTATTTTTTTATTTTATTTATTTTAAGTCACAAAAGAACAGAACCTAAAGCCACATACCTATATTGGCGCGTAACAAAAATAATAAAATATGTAAAATAAACTAGCTACATAAACATTTGCGGTATACGGTTGACACCTTCATTCATGCTACATCTACGTAAATCTTTAAACAACAATGTAAATATAAGCTATGTAAACGAAATGCACAATATATATTCATTGTACGTTTTAGAAAACCTGGCGAAATTCAAAAATAAATTTTCAGTTTTAATAATAGACTGTTAAACAACCGGTTCCATAAACAAAATTCATTGCTCTCTAGGCACTAACTAAAAAAAAAGCCATAAATAAGCTGAAGCGGCTAAGCCGTAAACTTCCCGAATAATAGATGAGAGACAGTTTTTGAAGCTGCATTTTTTAATAGCCAGCAGTGTAATCTATTGGCCGTTGCTTTTGTTCAGAAAATTGGGAGTGCGAAAAAAATGCATCAATAGCTAACGGATTTTCGAGTACTTGGCATACTATAGCTTTTGCCGGATATTTACAGTTTACTTTTAAAACCAGGCTTTAGGACATAGATAATATATTTTCTAGAGAAAATATCATTTTCTCAAACATGCTCGTAAATGATTGCATTACTTTCAAAAAAGGAACTCACAAAGCTTATCATTTATAAAGCGTGCAACACTGTGCTAAAATAAGTTCATTCCTGCTCTAAATTTTAAAATATCTACCAACAAGGAGTAATGTAGACTAAAAAAAAACTGTCTTACAGCGAACTGCTCACTAGCATCACTGTCTGTATTAAAAAATATACATCTATGTTATTTTATTGGTATTTTAGTAGCAGTAGAGCTCCTTGTAAAAGAGTTTCCAGGGAAGTACTGCCACCTTATCTTTTTCTTTGTTTTAGTTATTTTTTTATTTATTTATTTATAATAATATATTTCTGCCGCCGAGCAGTAATGTCAGCACTACTGTGTTCCGGTTTTGAAAGGTAAAGGGAGCTGGTGAAATTACAGGCACATGGGACTGATCTTTGCAATTTAAAGAGCTGGGTGGCACTGAAACTGTTATGGACAGGCGTGTAGCTTACCATCAGGCGCACGACTTGTCCGTCTCTTAACTTGTTAATATAAAAAAAAGTATTACTAACGTTTAATTATGCACAAATATACACTAGATTCTTAAAAACGGCGTTAAAATAAGCGAAAGTACTTTGAAGTTCTATTTTGTTATTTTTTCTTTTTTTTTTCTTCGCGAAAATGAATTCAAGTGACAAGAGCCAAAAATTACAGTAATGAAGTGTAGTATATTCCGCCTAATTTAAAACAAGAAGCAAAATTTGTCACGGTACTAAAGTTAACCAATTTAATTAGTATTAGATTTGTTATCCAACGTCAAATTTGTCAGACGTGACACACTTTTAAACCCCTCAAGGGTTTCAGTGTCGTATAAACGAATATAAAAATGTATATAAGTTAATAAATAAATGAAAAAAAAAAAAAAAAAAAATAATTAACTGAAATATCACCAGCACCCATACTTTTCAATTCAAAATGCTCACATTGCTGCTCGGCGTTAGAAATAAGCAAGGTGGCAGTACTTGCCTAGAGGAACTCTATCACAAGGAGCTCTACTCAACTAACTAGAACGGAAAAAGCGCTAAACGCCCAATGTACATTGAAATGTACTAAATAGATATAATTACATGCTTCTATATTAAAAACTACTTCTTCTAGATATCCCACGCATTTTCAGTATTAAGTGCCCTAAGCTAAAACAATGTTTGATTGATCAAAAACTGTTATGCAATTTTGAAACTAGTATACTAAACGTCATTTCCATAAGTTCTTGTCGGGAATTTGGATTTGCAAAACCGGGGGAAAACTTTTTCTTCGATGATAACACTATTTTTGGATTCAAGCCCTTTACGAGAAAAATGCAAGGTGACTCGAATTCTGTGCATTTTCATTACAGCGTACATCTCACAATTTTAAGATCATAGAAATAGCACAGTCTAACCAATTTAATAATACTGCCTGCAACTGCCTTCGTGGCCGAACGGTAACCATGCCAGACTGCCACGCTGAGATCCCGGGTTGGATTCCCGGGCCGGTAGAAATATTTGTATGGCCTGTATTTATTTTCTCTCGTGAGTTTGGGTGTAATTTGTGGTTGTCTACGTGTGTGTCCATGGCACCTGCGATACAGAGTTTCCCTAGCGCGGGGCTAGGAGCATGTGCGTTTAAAAAAAATACGGCATGGGGTCAACTCCCATTCTCGGTCCGAAACAATTACCGTCGAATAATTATTACTCTACCTAATTGTAAGACGCATAATGCGTACGAAGCTTCATACTGACACTGTGTTTATTATTTAGTCGAGTCTTCTTCTTTTCTTCCTGTCCTTATCCCACGCTAGGTGGGTTCAGCATCACACGTATTTTTCTTCCACTTTCACCTGGTTACTTGACAGTAAGTGTTTCCGTCGGATGTCGGATTGAGAACGGGACAAGACCCCCTGGGTCTGAATCATTTCACATTATTATTCACATTTGTATATACGTGGGGCCTTAGGAGTATAATAACAATTTAATCATGGGAAAATACGTGGTTGCTGAGTACTACAGCATTTCTCTCATGTACGAGTATATTGTGTACTGAATCGGCTAATTTTTATTTCGTAAGAGAAAGACATCAACGAAGTCACGTGCGTTTTTAAACGACTCACCTAAGTAATTGTTTTTTGAAAAAAAAAATCATTGTTCTCTTGGGACAATACCGTCGAATGTGGGTATACTAACGATTTGCTATCGACCTGCGCAAGCCATTTCCGGGTCCGTTTGAAGAAGCAAAATATATGTATCCGGGTATACTTACGACGAGTATGAGTATACTTACGTATACTAACGATATACTAACGACCTGTCTAGGTCGTTACTGGGCACCGTTTAGGGGGTGCTCAACTTCACACTTTCATTAACACAGGAAATTCCCAATGACAACATACCTCTAGCTGTAAAGCAGCCACACTTCAATTCGTATACGAATGGAAACCGACTCAATATCCAAGCAATATCGGCGGCCATCTGAACATAAAAAGTAATTGGGTTGCCCGTAAAAAGGGTTCTTATTTTACGGCCACCGAAAAAATACATAATAAACAAACTGGCCCTTTTTCGTCATAACAACCGTCACATCGTGGAGTTAGAAATATTTTTCTAGATGTGGTTGAAGCCGTACGCTACTCAGAATCGATCAAGATTTAAAAGAATCGTATTATTCAGTGTCATACATATGTTGATAATGATTAGATGACCTCAGTGGCCGATTGTGACTTTGTGGTTTTGGTTTAGATGTTCTGTGAATGATGTTGCTCTGGGATTTAGTTATGGTATGGCTTATTCTCTATTTCCAAACCAGGTAATTGGTGTTATTATCTTCCAAATAATTATGGTTTTACATTATATATAGGTGAAAATAAAATCAGTAGAATTAGTCACGTTGCATATACGACGAATTATTCAGACGTCGTCAAGTAAAAGGAATGTCATGACAATTTCCTTAACTAAAATTAATGGGCCAGATTACGTAAAGAGCATTGCGCCAAAGTCTAGTTACCACTTAGTCTTGAGAAGGCGTTAAGCCTGAACACAAATCAATTAAGAGGCGAACCCAGGGGATAAGCAGGAACGTGTCCCCGAGTACTATTTTCAATCTCAATAGGACAGCTAATTTCTGTGTCGTGCGGTGTGGTCTTTATTAGACCGCAAACATTTCTAGGCTAATGTGCTGCTGTAGCTAGGTATATGACCGTTTTTGAAAAACCCATAGCATAACCACGATCCAAATATTTCTCCAAAGACTTAGATAAAATAAAGTATAACAAGATAAAGAATCCACAACGCAAATGAGGTTTTTTTAATCTGCAGTACTTAATCACG